GTAAGAGACCCACAGGAAGCACCTGTATCTGTACAGCACTAGTCATGTCATTCTTCTGCTACTGGGCATGGGGGGGGACCCAGTTGTGAGTCTGTGTGTGTGTGTGAGTCTGTGTGTGTGTGTGAGTGTGAGTGAGTGTGCATGTCTGAGTGAGTGTGCATGTCTGAGTGAGCCCATCACTTAGTGACGTAGGTGTACCCCCGCGAGGGTGAGTGCTGACTCTGCGACTCTGGCACGGGCACGTTGAGGAAGTCAAAGACAAGGATGGTGTCGTCGTGGGAGCTGCTCACTATCTGGAACTCGTCAAACTGGAGGCGAAATACACGGCCAGAGTGTTCCTGGGGGGGAGAGAGGGGGAGAGGGGGGGTTAGTGGAGGCGAGATACACGGCCAGAGTGTTCCTGGGGGGGAGAGGAAGGGGGTAGGGGGGGTTAGTGGAGGCGAGATACACGGCCAGAGTGTTCCTGTGGGGGGAGAGAATTTTCTTCGGCTCGTAGAATTCGGAAAAGTGAAAGCACCATTATCATACTCCACTGGACTTGTTGATTATAATCGCTGTGGTATGATATATATATATATTGTTTTCCTCCAGCAAGACAGTGTTTTTGAGCTATGTTTGTTTGACCCTTCCTTTTATTGCCAAACCAGGCCGGGTCAGATTATATTCCAGCAAAACTAGATTGAAATGTCAGGTAAAGATCATTTCCCCATACAGAATAAAAGTCACATCATTTTAATTCAAAATAATAAGCGTAACCATTGTATTAGTAGCAAGCGGTTCATATTTACAATAAAAGCGCATACTATTTTCTCTGCCGAAAGGATGGTTAAACTATAGGAAAAGCCTTACGGATTTAAACCCAGGCACTTTGTTTCTAGATATTTGTTGCACGGCTGATTGTTAATGAAAATATTGGTTACTACTCTTCATTATTGCCTTTTTTACATCCCAACAGAACTTTTACCACATGCACCTCGTTAGAAATGACGTTCCAAAAGTGGACCCTTCAACTTTCCAAAACGTCCACGAAATGACACTCGACGACATGGAAGAACTTTTCGATGACGAGGTATCATGGAACAGACTCTTATGCCGAGAACGAATATGTGTTCATTACGTGCCTTTGCGGAGGGTCAAGGAGAATATACGGCATGTCATCAACCACAGAACGAAAGCCTTCATGTCTTTTGGTTCTTCAGGTGTTAAGGACGCTTGTGTCTCTGCCGAGAACCACGTCCAAAATGCCACCATGTTCTCGACAATACATTATTTCCCAGTGAGTTTTGGTCTTGCTTTCAATTCTGACTTTTATGGCTCGGACTTCACAGACTTGGAATCCCATCTACAGATGCATATTCGTCACTTTACAGAGACTGAAGACCCGAAAATAGCCTGGGCCATCCATATTGACGTTAATCTTGAATCTGAGATCAGGGAAAGAC